GCTGCGGTCATCAGTGGTCACCCTGCTGTCCTCACTGTTGGGGAGCTGCGCCAGCGCTGCCTGGTCCAGAACGCAGTCTCCATTCACCACACGCTCCAGGAATTCAAGGAACTCTTTGAAGAATTCGGTGATGGTGAGGCTGTTGGGGAAATGGAGGGATCAGGCACAGTGTCCTCAGTGTCCCCTGGCCCCTCCAGCACCGTGCCACCACCCTCCACAATGTACTCGGAGAGCTCAGGGAACTGCTGGAGGAAGCCTTCCCAGTCGGGCACATCAGGGCTGGTGCCGTGTCTGCCCATGGTGTCAAGCGATGGCTGGAGCCGATGGGTGAAGCTGGTGTCCGCTGCCTGCTCGGGAAAGGCGTCAGCGAGGGCGGCTGGTCCTTGCTGGGACACCTGCACGGGCTGTGCCATTGCTGCTGCGGCGGTCACTGGTGCTGCAAAGGCAAGCAAAGGGGAGGCAGGCGCGGGGCGATGCAAGCTTTGCTCAGCTTGGCTGCCTGCGCTCAGGCTCCTCAGCCCCCCGGGCCTCACCTCTGGGCTTCGTGGTTGCCAGCAGAGCCGGGGCAGTCTGGTGGGGCCTGGCGGAGCCGATGGTGCCCCCCGTGGCTGCCCGGTCCTCGGTGGCGGCCGCCTCCTGCCCACGGGCGCAGGGGAGCTGTGCCGCGGGTGGCAGCGGCAGCGCAGAGGGGAGCTGCAGCCGCTGCCCCGGGGCCCCGGGGGGCCCTGGCACCCCCTGCGCCAGCTGGTGGGGGCCAGGCCGGTCCCGGGCAGGCCCCAAGGACAGCGGCAGCCCCGCGAGAGGGGGTAACGCTCGAGTCGCGATCGGTCGCTGCGTGGCCAGAGCATCCGAGCTCAGACCAGACACTTCCATTGCCGTTGGCAGGCGGAGGGGAAACCTCTCTGTCGGGAGAAGCGGAGAGAGGCGCTGGGGTGAGAAAGTGGCAGGCAGAGCGGGCTGGGGGTTACCTGTGGGGCAGGAGCACCGGGAGCTGCGGCCGTACCTGCCCCGAGCGAGGGTCAGTGTCAGTTGGGCGTGGGCCAACGGCCCCTCTCCACCAGGCCCCACCCAGCGCTCCGCCAGTCCCGGCTGCTCCAGCGGCCTCGCGGACCCCGGCCGCTTCCCCTCGCCGTGGTTTCCTCCCCTGCTGCCGATTCCCTGCCCTAGATCTCGGTTTCCCGGCCCGCAGTGGTTTCCCGTCCCAGTGATGTTCCTTAGGGCCGTGTGTCCTTCCCAGCCCTGCTGTGGTGGCGGTGGGAAAGGCGCTTGTGGCGCTTTTGGGTTGTTGTTGTCCTTGCCCCTCTCTGCTGTGGGCCCCCTGCACGGCGTCTGTGCTGGCTCTTGTCCCCCTGTCACTGGCTGGTGGGACCCATAGGGCACGTTATGGAGCTTCCCTGCCCGCTAAGTATCAGGTCAACCAGTCTTGAAAGTGTTAACGTGTATATGTGTATGTGTGTGTATATCTCTGTCTATGTATCTGCACATATATATTTACATGTGCAACTACATATATATAGCTACCCATGCCTATCTACGAATATGTCTCTCCCTCTTTCTCCTTATGTAGTTATCCATAGAGCTGTCAGAACTATTTTCCAGGCAAGTTTTGAATTTTTTTTCTTCAGAGCAGGGCTGTAAGTAATTGTAGTGGTGGCAGGAGCTGTGTCAGCTGTCAGTGAAATCCTTTGATTTCATGACTTGGTATCCTGTGTCCCTCTGCGGTTCCTATCACTCTTTTCTGCTTCCTGTGGCAATGTCTCTGCAGCAAGCAGAGGATGGGAGATGGTTTCTGAAGTGTTCCAGTGACCTGCTTCAGCTCTTCTGCTTGCAGGTGCCTCTTCTTTGAGCAGAGACTGCTTTTGTCGTTTCCTTCTCCTTCCTGAATCCAGAGGAGCTGTTTCACAGTGGTTTGCTTGGACACTCATGGTCCTTCTATCTTCAATGAATTGATTTGCTTGGGACAGTATTTACAGACAAAAGAGAAGAGTGAACTTGCCTCACTAAGGCTGAGGCTTGGGTTTTAGAGCCACATCCCTGGTTTCTCTCCCAGTGGTTTTCGGCTTTCTAGAGGAACTTAGCTTAGCAGCAATCCTGTTTGCCACCAGCTGTTTATAATGGATAGTCCCCATAGCAGTGCTTTTCTTGTCTTGGAGCAGGATTTTTAGTGACATTTTGAGCACTTTCTGAGGCTGGGTATCTCCTTCTGAGATGTCACTTCATGGGGTTTCTGCCTACCTCTCTGAGCAGTTTTTGCTGAGATGTGACCTTTGAGAGCTCTGTGTTTATATTGTGCTGCTGGACACAGTACCTGTATGAATACCCTCTGCTGTTCCTTGCCTGCTTTTGGCTTGCCTGCTCCCTTCAGTGTTTCTGGGTAGCCCTGGTTCCTGACCTGCCAGCTCCTGACTGCTCAGAGGTTTTTGGGTGTCAGGGCCATCCTGTCTCCTCCCTGGCTCCCCATGCTGGCTGTCGTGGGCTAGGCTTGAGCAAAGACTGTTGTCAGTGAGCTCTCTGGTATGAGGAAAGCACAAGAGGAAAGAGGCTTCAATGGCAAAGCTGATTTGTGTAGGAGCTGTATGGCCAGAGGTGGGGCTTGACTGTGGGTTTGTCATCTACTGCCAGGGATGGGGCAGCCACAGCTTCTCTGGGCACCCTGGGCCAGCGCCTCAGCACCCTCACAGGGAAGAGCTTCTGCCTAAGAGCTCATCTCAGTCTCCCCTCTGGCAGGTTCAAGCCATTCCCCTTGGCCTGTCCAGACAGGCCCTTGTCCCAAGCCCCTCTCCAGCTTTCCTGCAGCCCCTTTAGGCTCTGGAGCTGCTCTAAGGTCTCCCCTTGAGGAGCCTTCTCTTCTCCAGGCTGACCCAGCCCAGCTCTCTCAGCCTGGCTCCAGAGCAGAGCTGCTCCAGCCTCGCAGCATCTTCATGGCCTCCTCTGCTTCACTCCAACAGTTCCACGTCCTTCTTGTGTTGCTGCCCCAGAATAGTAGTTCTTACAACTGTTCTTGCATAATTTGTAAGGGAAGATCAGGCAGACTGTGTGTGCTGACAGAGATTGCTAAAGGAAGTGTCACAATTACTCTTAGAATCCAGGCTGTCACATTTTCAGCCTTAACTGTCTGCTTGTGCTTCCTCTTCAAACCTCATCAGTTATATTTTCTGATAATCAGTTAGCTTGGGTCAGAGAAACGGAATCCAAATTCCAGTGTCTCTGCATTTCAGTTTACCTGGGTAGGTTTTAAGATTAGCATGTACTTGCTGAAGAAGGAGATTTTGTGGTTGATGGGGAGCAGAATTATATTAGCAGTGAAATGTGTCAAGATCCCATGTTATGGACTTCGATTATTAGAGAGATACTAAGAAATTTGGATTCAGCTCTTCCATTTCTTTAAGTCCTTGCTGTGAATCTGGATTTTTTTTTTATTTGGGGCCATTGTGATTTCAGCATATCAAAATGATGTTGTCTTGCCTCTCAGTTTTCCTGTTTCTTAGCCCACCCTCTTCCTTGCATTTGGCGTGATTTTCCCAGGCTCTCTTGAGTTTGTGTTTTCTTTTTCTTTGAAAGATTGCTTTCCTTCTGCATCCATGCTTTTCAGTGCTTTACAGAACGCCCATCTATCACAGAAACACAAGGGAAAAAACATTTTTGTAGGAGCAAGTTTCTGGTTTCTATTCATATAGTTTAGAGTATCTGGCTGTTCACTGCTCAGAATTGATCAAAATGCTTATCCGGCTCCTCACAGTGTTACCCTACTGGAATAGGGAAGTCAATAGGTTAGGAGTGAGGCAGGGCTTTTCAGACTCAATCTTCTGGGAGCTGCAAGAGGCCAGCAAAGAAATACATCTGCAGCAGCATCAGAACCAGCGTGTCGAGAGGGCTGTGTTTGATTAAAAATTATCATGCCTGGCTGCTGACACACAAATTCCTCCCAGTCTTGGTATTTTCTTTAGCTTTCTCCAAGGGTGAGTGTCTGTGCACACGTAAAGGAGAGCCTTTCAATAGAATTGAATAAATAACTTTCATAATGTTTTGCCTTATTGCTAACATTTGTCACCTTGATGCATCTGCAAAGACATGAGTCGAGACACAATGTGCTATGAAATAACGGCTTGATGACTCAAAATGTCAGTTCAACATCAAGTGTCGTGGTTAATACAATGCAAGCTTCCAGGTTAACAAACTCATAAATTGCCTTAGTATATATTTCCTTCCTTAAATTCAGCTTATTCTTCTTTCCTAGAAGAGTAATAGTCTTTGTTCCATTAGTTCTAGTCAAGGTATTGCGGATGCTTGCAAGCCTCATGCGTTTGGCCTCCTAAAATGGTTTGGTTTTCTTTTTAACACATTACAACCTTTCTAAGTTTCTAGTGCCAAGGTGCAGGTACAGATTGGCTTGAAAGAGGAAAGGGCCATGTAGGCAGACAACAGCTGTGAATTGGGTCCCTTTGTGGTAGTAGTTCTTTATTGAATGTGCCGTTGGGTATAGCAGTAGAGCCTTGCTGCTGCTGCATTGTCCCTGTGCTGCTGGTTACAGGGCCTGTTTTGTCACAGGTTATAGAATCATACATGAAAGCCCAGTATTTTTATCTATATTTTTGAAGTTATCTAATTAAAGTGCTGCTAGTTGGTCCTCAATCTATTTGTGTGTATATACATCTTAAATTTTACTACCCTTTCTTTCTGTTACCTGACAACGAGCATAGGATACTTGGTTTGAGCTCTTCAGGTGGGTGTTTTGTTTTCTGGTTTCTAAGGGAATCACTGACTTTTCTAATGAAACTGATTTTCGCAGAATCCCAGCCTGGTTTGGGTTGAAGGGACCTTAAAGCTTATCGGGTTCCAACCCCTTGACACAGGCAGGGCCACCTTCCACTAGAGCTGCTTGCTCCAAGCCCCATCCAAGCTGGCCTTGAGCACTGCCTGGCTGGGGCAGCCACAACTTCTCTTCTACGGCAAAAGCCAGGTAAACCCACTCCTCCTTCTCTTTCTGCTTTCTTTTATAGGCTCCTTCATGATGGTGAACAGCTCTGGGCGAGCATCTGGGCAGAAAGCTCACCTGCTCTTGCCTACACTGAAGGAAAATGACACCCACTGCATTGACTTCCACTATTACCTGTCCAGCCGAGACCGTTCGAGTCCTGGCTCTCTGAACGTCTACGTGAAGGTGAATGGAGGACCACAGGGCAATCCCATATGGAATGTCTCGGGGGTTGTTACAGAAGGATGGGTGAAAGCCGAACTTGCCATCAGTACATTCTGGCCACATTTTTATCAGGTATGAGTTTGGAATGTTTTTCCTTAGAACATTTGGCTGGGTATGAGCTAAGCTATTGTTAGCAACGGATATTCTGAAAATCATTTACCCCTTGCCCTCCTTCCCGACTCTCAAGTCTGACAGCAACTTTGCTATCATTGTTTTAGTTTTAATTAGGTAAATTGTTCACAATGGCCTCACATACTAGGTGATACATACATGTGTTGCAGGGGGGTTGGAACTGAATGAGATTTAAGGTCCCTACTCAACCCAAATCAGTCTGTGATTTTATCAATAAGATACAGGAGTGAGAGTGGGATTAGGGTAGAATAAACTATTAAAAGTCCACAAATAGTCTGTAGATAGGAAACAGCAGGTAGAAATGCTTGCTTTCGTTTTCTTTATTTACTTCTACTAACTGTGTTGCAGGTCTGTAAAATCAGAGCTGAAGTAGAATGTTTTCTTGTTCTACCTCTGGGAAAAAGTTGGGGATAGCAGCAGCATACATAGAACCACACTGTGCAGGGTGAGACGGAAGGATAAAGGGATTTAAACGGGTGGAAAAAAAGGGCTGTTCTGAAATCATAGTGAAATGCTTGTACTCCATTCAGATTAACATGAACCTCATCATGAGCCAGAATTTGCTTCATAGTAGGTGCTCCACAGAGGTAACAGGAATGAGCTTTCACCCAGGTAATCAGTGCTTTAAAAACCTGGAAGAGACAGTCTGATCTCACTCCATGAGAGCTCCTGTCCTTAGCAATACCAATAGCAGATTGCCTGAGCCTGCCTTACTTCTTTTGCAAGTCCTTTTGCAGGTCAAGTTTGCTTTTCCTGAGCAAAAAAATCCTTTAAATCAGACAAGATTTTTTTCACTGGAGTGTAAAATGAACAGATTGGAGGCAGCAGCAAGTGCTCAGGAGGAGTTCCTCCCTAGAAATACAAGGGTTTTCCGTTTTACTTTTTGTTGAATGGGGTAATGTTTCCTTCTGCATATATTTATATTCTCTCTCAAGTGTGGCTTTGAGATTGATCCCACTGTTATAGAATCATAGAATGGTTTGGGTTGGGAAGGACCTTAAGATCATCCAGTTCCAACCTCCCTGCCACAGGCAGGGACACCTTCCACTAGAGCAGCTTGCTCCAAGCCCCTGTGTCCAACCTGGCCTTGAACACTGCCAGGGACGGGGCACCCACAGCTTCTCTGGGCACCCTGTGCCAGTGCCTCAGCACCCTCCCAGGGAAGAGCTTCTGCCTAAGATCTATCCTGAACTTCCCCTGTTTCAGTTCAAACCCATCACCCCTTGTCCTGTCGCTACAGTCCCTCATGAAGTGTCCCTCCCCAGCATCCTTGTAGCCCCCTTCAGACACTGGAAGCTTCTATGAGGTCTCCATGCAGCCTTCTCTTCTCCAGGCTGAACAGCCTATCTTCATACAGGAAGTGCTCCGGCCCCTGATCATGCTTGTGGCCTCCTCTGGACTTGCTTCAACAGCTCTATGTCCTTCTTATGGTGGGAACACCAGAACTGTATGGTGGTCTAAGTGGAGTTATGGGAAATCTAATGGACTGACCTATCCTTGGTCCCTGATTTCATAAACCACTCCTGTTGATGGTCTGCTATCCTGTGAGTTTTTACATTTAACCAAGGTTTAAAAAAGAAAACTTTAAGTTTGCAAAGGTGAGGAGGAAAACACAGTGAAGGATTAAGTCAGGATTCCTGTTATTTGGCAGTTTGCAGTGACACTTAGGACTGAGGGAGTCTGGAGGTATGGGCTGACCCAAGCCTGGGTGTGCTGTTTGCTAGGCAGTGTCCTGTTTCACACTCCCAATCTAGGACGTGCCATCAGTGTTGTCAGCTTTAAATGAAAATTGCACGCCTGGAAAAATCTTTTGCATGACAAAGAGGCCTGAAAGCATGGTCTGTGTTATCAAAAGCGCCAGGGAACACAGGAAAAAAAAGAGCATTTTTCCTAAATCATGACATCTGTGTCAAGCAAAATGTGGGTTATTCTGTTAATGCACAGAAACCACCATCTTGAACTGCAGTATGCATCGAAAACCCAGTCAGGCAAAAACTGCCTGCCCTGGGTCTGAGGCTTACACAGCTGCTTTGGTCTTTGGAGATTGGACTAGTGGAATACTAGTAACTAGCTGCCAGAGTTCATGTTTTGGGGCTGGTAGTTCTGTGCAAGGGTTGTAGGAGTCATCTAGATCCAAAAGCACTCTGCTGAGCTATAAATGGTGGTGGTGGTGGTGGAGATTTATGATGTCTGCCCTGGAGTTACTCGTACGTGGATTCCCAGCCTACAGATGTTCTGAGTATAGTGAGAAAAAGCTGTAATAGTTCTTGGAGAAAGGTAATACATGTAATCTTGAGTTACTGCTTGCCGTAAGGATGAGCTTAGTCCCAGAATGCACCAAGGGCAGTGCAGGAGTCTGCCTGGAAGAGGTTTTTTGATGTATAGCAAGGAATGTTATTGATCCATGCCTGAAGAAAACTGTTGTACCACAACAGATGAGCCAGGCTAACACAGGCGCTGTTGGTATAGAGCAGCAGTGAAGTGTAGGATTATTTATTGGGAAGGAAACATGAAATGACTTTGTATTTCCAGGTCTCCCAAGCATTTAAGAGTGTTTTTTCAGAGTAAAGTTTTGAATTTTTTCATCTATATTAATTTTTGGGAAGTATCTTAAATCTAAAGCATTGTTAAAGGCCCGTCTCTCAACCATTACACTGCATTTCCAGCAGAAGGTAAAAAGATATGAGAGATACTCAGTGTGGAATTTGCAGAGCTGAGCCTCATCAGCCTTTATTCCTGCCCATTCCTCTTCAGGAAATTCCTCCTCAGTTCTCAATAAAACCGTGCTCTTCTTGCTTTGGTAGGGCTGAGATGCTGCAAGATACAGATGAAGACAACATGGAAATTTGAACTGGGAAATAACAGGAATATCCATGTGTAAAGCAGAATAGATAATAGTTTAGTCTGTAAGAACAATGATGTGTGACTTGAGAGGATCCTCCACCCTTCCCAGTGGATTCTGCACCAGTGTGCATGGGTTTTGTAGGAGCCGACTGTTACCAGTGCAAATTGTATTGTGCTGCGTTAAAGACTGAACATGTAATTAACGAAGGTAGTTCTCTGTATATTGGTGCTTCCAGTTGCCATGCACTAAATGCCAATGCTTTGGAACTTTTCTTTCCAAGCTCTTGGCTTGCAGCAAATTGGGATTTAGTTCATTGTGGCTTTACAGCTTCTTGGAAATACAAAACGAAAAGAGGATTTTGTAGCTGTAATGTTGCACTGGAATTGAAGGCTGAAGGGAGCTGCAGTTCCTTCCATGCCCTCCTCAGGAAGTGTGATTTTTGTCATGAATGACATTTCTAAAATTACTATAATTTCCATAATAAGGGTTTGCATTATACTTTTATACTGTCCCTCAGAAGCATATTAAGAGCCTTGATAACAAAACACTTGGGGGTTTTTGTTGTTATTATTTTGTCTTTCAGAGACTGGCTTCCTCCTATTGTTCCTTGGACAATTGTTCATTCCTGGTTTTTGTCCACCCTCCTTTGGAGTAGAACTTTGTTTCTATGTATTTAAGCATTTCACCTTTTCTTAGTTTATAACTTTGCCTGTTAGTTTTTTGTGTTCTACCTGTTTTTATGGTGTCTTTTTTCCTAATGGATGCATTTCTGAACATCTCACATTTGGATGTGTTCTGAGTTAGAGAAGCAGACCTTATGGAGTCATGGAAACATGAGTAGAAACTGCACTCTGGAAGCCCAAATGCAAAGCTAAATGATTGAGGGCAGTTCTGTACTTGCAAAGGACATGCTGCTCACTTTCATAACCAGGGTGTGCGGTGACCAGCTTTTGGGCAGCTGAATCTTTTCCTGGTTTATATCTGATGAAGGAGTTTAAGAAGAGGCTACACAGTGACAGACTGGGGATACCAGCTTTTAGGTAGAGTGAAAGTAAGTGTTGAAAACTGGCTTTAAGTAGTTAACTTCTTGTTCGAGTGATAAATTTTAGAGGTTACAAATTACTGAAGGATTTTCTTATGTGACACAAGTATCTGCACTGGAATCCTGCTCTGATAGAGGTAACAGTGCCAGCTGAACATGTTAATTCACTCTGTCCTTGCGAACATTTTTGTATACTCATGCATACATGAGCAGTTTAGAACAGTGTGAACATTACTCTGGGAAGAGGGAATAAAGCTGAGGACATGTTTCAAATGCAGAGGATGGCATTCGTTATGTCTCCATCCATTCATTCTTTTTCAGAGTAGTAAAGGATTCCTTTGGGAGGAGAATCACTAATTGAGAGGTAGCACCACCGGCACCTTAAATAACCAGGCTGCAGTTTCTGTTTTCTCTTGCAGTTTAATATTTCTAAACTTCCCTTTTCCTCACAGGGTAGCTCAAGTTGGAAGGGATCCATAGGGACCATTGAGTCCACTTCCCTGTTCCTGTGCAGGAGTACCTATGAGTAGTCCAGATCATGTGTGAACTCTCGCCAGCTCAGTGCCCTGACCACTGTGTTGGAGGTTACAAATTAGGGAAAGATTTTTTTCTATGAAACAGGTAGCCCAGGGAGCATGTCCAGAGGCAGACCAGCGTCTCGGTGAAGAACCTTTTCCTACTGAAAAGTTGCTCTTGAACTTCCCCTGATGCAGCTTCATTCCATTTCATAGAATCACAGAATCCCAGCCTGGTTTGTGTTGGAAGAGACCGTAAAGCTCATCCAGTTCCAACCCTGCCACAGGCAGGGACACCTTCCACTAGAGCAGCTTGCTCCAAGGCCCTGTGTCCAACCTGGCCTTGAACACTGCCAGGGATGGGGCAGCCACAGCTTCTCTGGGCACCCTGTGCCAGCGCCTCAGCACCCTCACAAGGAAGAACTTCTGCCTAATGTCTAGTATAAATCTATCCTCTTTCAGTTTAAAACCATTGCCTCTTGTCCTGTCACTGGTCACCAGAGGGGAGCTCAGCGCTTCCCTTCACTGCCCCCTCTGAATAAGGTGTAGGCTGTGATTATATGTCCTAATGTCCTTTAATTGTTGGTCAAACTGTGCATATTTAGTGCTGTTTTCTCCTGAACTTTTGGTTAGCTTATTTGGCAGTAGTTAATGATCATTTGTTTAGGTTTTACTAACTGCTGACTCTGGGATAGCTTGTGTATTTTTGGTAACAGGGTAATTCAGGGCAGTTTTCCAGGTAAAATCACAAAGCCATAGGGAAGAATGAGATTTTGGTTCATGTGTAATTTACTATCTGTCTATTCAGACACAAATTAGTGGAACACTTTCATTGCCCAGCTACATACACAATATAGAAATTGCTACTTAGTGTACCATTAATGTAGAGAAATACTACATGTGGGTTTTATGAATATTCATTCTCAGACTGTGTTAGTTCAAGCCATGAAAGGTAGAAACATCTTTGTTGTATCTGTGAGAATCCTATTTCATCCCAGTAACTGAAACTCAGGATCAGCAGTTGCTCATGATTTGCTTTCCAGTACTGAAGTGGTATGTGTGCCAAATGAAGATGTTCTCCGGGAGGATCCATTCAGCGGTTTTGACTCAATTGGAGTACATGTACAGCATTCTCCAGCATTCCTAGGCATACTAAGAACAAGGTGATTATCCACCTAATGTTCTTGGACTGGTGCTTAAAGTAAATGTAGGTGTGGATATACACAGTCTATTTTTTCTCTTCCAAATGCAAGAAGCACATAGTTGCATAGTTGTCTCTAATCCTAATGAATGTTGCTCTAACTTTTTACTTTTCATATCAAACAGATTTCCAGTCTTTGGTATGCCTGTACAGACTGTATTGCCTGGTATCCCTTCGTTATTCCTGATGAAATGCCTTGAATGACTCAAACACTGGAATAAGAGCAGAACTGGTGATTGGCCATGTGTAATTGTTCTTCTTAAGAAAATTTTTCTTGTTTTGTGTTTCAGGTGATATTTGAGTCTGTCTCTTTGAAAGGACACCCAGGGTACATAGCTGTGGATGAAGTCAGAGTTCTCGCCCATCCATGCAGTGAGCACTCTTTGTTTTTCTAACCATATTGGTGTGTTATTACCAAGCTTTACAGTCTAAAGGAGTGATTTACCCAGTTTGGTCAGCACTAAAATGTCATCTTGCATCCCTCTGAGGCACCTAAAGACAATCAGCTTTGTATAATTATCTAACTTAGCAAGTTGTGCAAGAGACAAATGTGCTCTCAGGCTATAGCTAGCGCCAGGCCATCTGTGGAAGTCTTTTTTCCTCTCTTGTTATGAGAACATAAAACTGATTGTTTTATTATTTCTGAATCATATTGCTCTAGAAAACAATTTGAAAAGCTTCTGATGATACCCTGTGTGGGTAACTTCAGGAACAAATAGTTTCAGTATCTCCTTGGTAAAGGGCATATCCTAAGGGTCTCTTAATAAAGGTTAAACCCAGTCAGCCCATAAAGATATTATAACTAAATCTCAGTCAGACAATACACTTGCACAGGAGTAGAAACTAAAGCAGGTTCATTATTATGTTCAAAAATATTAATGCCATGTTTCCCCTACTGCAGCCATAATAATACACTTAGATTTATGTTTTTTTTTCTATTTAAAGAACCTTGAGCCTCAGTCTTGAGTCTGAACTTGTTTGGTTTCTTTGTGCATCTACAGTGTGGCTTGAGGACTTTGTGTGTTTGTTTTGTGGATGTTATATCCAGTTTCTTCTAAAGATTTGTTTTAACAGCCACTCTCACTGGGTCACAGTTTTAGTCAGTCCATGACAGCTGCTCACACAAAAATTCATGGATCATGTCGATGGAGTGAAATCAACCGATTTTCTTGCAATGAGGATTTCAGAGAACAGCTGCCACTCAATGTGACAGATACGGTTCTGCTCAAGTTTAACAGGACATTCCTGATAACTGCAGTATGGTTAATTGCTGCTTAACTGAATTATATTTGTATTTACCATGTGCTCATTGCTCAGGCCTTTGGGTGCACTTACTTCATTAAGAAATACTTAGAATCTGTATGAGCCAGATGTTGCTGATAATGGCAGCATCCAGACAGATCCCCTGAATGGTCTGTGTGTTTTCCACAGCCTGTTGGGTGATGACCTCTAGCAGCCTTCCAGTGTCTGAAGAGGGGCTATAGGGATGCTGGGGAGTGACTCTTCATTAGGGACTGTAGTAACAGGACAAGGGGTAACAGGTTAAAACTTAAACAGGGGAAGTTTAGATTGGATATAAGGAAGAAGTTCTTTACTGTAAGGGTGTTGAGGCACTGGAATGGGTTGCCCAGGGAGGTTGTGAATGCTCCATCCATGGCAGTGTTCAAGGGCAGGTTGGACAGAGCCTTGGGTGGCATGGTTTAATGGGAGGTGTCCCTGCCCATGGCAGGGGGGTTGGAACTGGATGATCTTAAGGTCCTTTCCAACCCTAAATATTCTATGATTCTATAACCAATCCCTTCACTGAGAGGCAGGCCAGTGTGGGGCAGAGCCTGGACAAAGTTTGGGATTTAAAACCAGAGACAGGATGCTCTGTTACACCCCTGCTTGATTTAACTGAAGCATTCAAACTGGTTTTAAATCCATTTCTCCAAGTATATGCACTCTTAAAAATTAAGTGCATTCTTAGTGACTCAAACCGGAAGTGATTCAAACAGTTAGCTACTCCGTTTTGAATTGGTTTGCAACCTGCAGCATACAGTACCCAGTACAAGCTGCAAGGTCTTTGTAAATGCTTTTCCTGTCTGATTGCCATCATTGCTTTTGTGCTGAGCAATGACAGCCACCAGTGTAAATATCACCAGAGTGTGTTCTGTTGACTTGTACAAGCTTTTCCCCTCATACTTGTTTTGCAATTGTTTGAACTCAAGCCATGGGGACCATGGTACTCCTGATGACCCTGGTGGTTACTGAAATTACTGGTGTTATTCATTTCTGCTTTACCTTGAGAGATGACAGCACAGCAGGCAGACCTAAGTAGCAGCAAAACCACAAGGAAGTGCCCCTAATGACACAGTAATGGAGACAAATAAGTATTTCACTGGTCTTGCCTTTTTTTTCTGTCCTGGGAAGAAATGCAGTGCAGTATTGATTCTCATGAGGCTAAATCACAGTGACTGTATGTGCAGTCACAGACCAGCCCTATGCTCTGGTCGAGGAGTCTGAGGTTCATGTGGCTGCATTCACCCACTCCAAACAGCTCCATATGTGGAGCTGGCTTGTATCTGCCCACACAAGACTAGCAGAAAGTGCTAGTATTAGCCTGCAAATACCATGTAGTACTTTCTGTCACCCAGAGGTAGTGTTCCAGTAAGCTTTGGTGCCAATTGCTGATCCCCAGAGAGCACGATGGTACAGTCACTATCTTTCAGGAGGTGTCAGCAAGCTGAGCATGTGGTGAATGGGATAGAGAAACTAGATATAGACATCTGGCGTAGCGTATTGGTGTGTGTTCTCTGTTCATGTTTCTGTAGTACACAAATACTTCTGTGTCAAGCTTACACACAGACACAGATGCCCAAATCCTTCTGAAGCTGTTTGGAAATAGACAAATATGGGTTAGCATCCTCTGAAGTGATTGAATTGGTGTCTGGTCCTACTAGAAATGCAAAGATGAAGTTAAAAATCTCTGTCCTTTGGAGTCTCTTGAGGCTTCAGTGTGTCCTGCTCAATGGTTCCAGATGGTGCCCAGACTTTCTTCTGAAGCCCTGGAGGAACTAAGTTCATTTAAAAGTGTCAGATTCATTATTGAAAGCTTTTTTGTTTTCTTCTGTGTTAATATACAGAGGTGAATGAGCCTGGTATTTAGTCAAAAAGAGTCTCCTCTGCTCTGGTAGCTTTGTGAACAGATGTGCTTTTAATTTTAATATCAGTGGTTTAATATTGAATTAATACTGAATTTAGTATCAGAAAAACTCGGATATCCACGATGTTAAACTAATGCAGGGATTCAATACTGTCAGATGAAAATTTCATTTAATACCTGATTTGGTATTAATGACACATTATTATTCTAAAGGTCTAGGATGTATTTGATAGTCAATAAAATTAAAAGGAAAAAAGACCCTTGGGAAAACTGGCTTTGGGTCAGTTGTGCTTGACAAGCTCAGGAGCGTTTGAGGGCTTTTTTGACCTTTTTAGAAACATAACTTTCTGAAGAAAAGAAATTACTCAATTACTCTTTATAGCAAGCACTGAGAGATTGTGCTGATGCCCATGAACTTGTGATTTGATCTCAGTCTGCATTTTTAGCTGTGCTAGAGCTCTCTATGGTCCCTCAGGCCATCCTCTGTCGGGTCCATCATCCCCAGCACTCTGCAGTGAGCAGTTAAACATTGAAGGACAGCTTTATTTTACAAAATCTTTTTGTCCAGGGTAGTCCTTAGTGCTTTGCTGAGTGTTTGTATCTGTTGGTGTGACACAGCCCACCACTGCCTTGCTCTACCCTTGCAATACTTCTCTTTTGTTAGGAAAAGCACCTCATTTCCTCCGGCTGCAGAACGTGGAGGTGAACGTGGGACAGAATGCGACGTTCCAGTGCATTGCTGGGGGGAAGTGGTCGCAGCATGACAAGCTCTGGCTTCAGGTAATGTGCCTTTTTGGGGGTTTTTGGTTTGTTGGTTTGATTTTGGTTTGTTTCTTTTTCCAAGTAGAATAAGTCAATGGAGAAAGACTGGGTGGTGGGGCAAAATCTTCTCATCGGGGTCTTTTGAGAACTGCCTTGAACTGCTTCTAGGTGAGAGTTTAAGGTGACAAAGTACAGAATTGTGATAGAGAGGATGGGGAAAATGCCCAGTGACAGCAAAAGTTAGGATTCAAATGAATGCTGATGTACCTGTAAGGAGGTCATAAAGCAGAAGAGAGAGAACAAGTGGAATAGTTCTTCACTTCTGCTTTATTATGCAATCTTCTTTCCTCTCACTCTCCAAAAACATCCTCAGCCCAGAGTCAGTGACAAAATGTCAAGAAGGAAACCTACTCTTAAATTCTGAGATTGCTCCCTGGCTGGTGAAACCAGGCAAAACCATTTTGCAGCCACTGTTTTTCTTCCTCCCAGTTTGTCTCAGCTGCATTGTGCGCAGATTGTTCCTTTTAGTCCCTCACTAAAAGGCCAAACCATTCCCTTTCTTGATATCTGTACTTTCACCCTGCTGGTTGGACTTCAAAGCCTGGGTCCTGCTATTCAGGTGGGTGTAGAAACAATTTTAAGAACTCATTTTCAGTTCTAGAGTTAGAAACGGGGCATACATCAAACTGAAATTGTGGAGTGCATGTTTCCTAGCGAAGGAAAAAATTACTTCTTCTGCCCTTTGTTGTCATCTGTGAATCCCAACATTGCACTATACACAGTGCTCTTGTAGAAGCTTTTAAAGTAACTGAGCTCTTTACTGCTTCTAAACTTAGAGAGTCATGGAATGGTTTGTGTTGGGACCTTAAATTTCATCCAGTCCCAACCCCTGCCACGGGCAGGGACCCCTTCCACTAGAGCAGCTTGCTCCAAGCCCCTGTGTCCAACCTGGCCTTGAACACTGCCAGGGATGGGGCAGCCACAGCTTCTCTGGGCACCCTGTGCCAGCGCCTCAGCACCCTCACAGGGAAGAGCTTCTCCCTAGAGCTCATCTCAGTCTCCCCTCTGGCAGGTTAAAGCCATTCCACCATGTCCTGTCACTTCTGTGCTGTTAAACACCTAACATCCCAAACAAGTCAAGAGGAGTCTCTTGCTGGATGTACTGTACATGTACATAAATGTGTGCCAACTTAAGTCATCACCAGATTTTATTCTCAGCTTGGCCTGATGTGACTGATGTCTGACAACCCGATCTTTGTGACGTCAGAGGCAGCCTGGAATGGCCTTCATCATGGTCTCTGTGGCATGTGTAGTCAAAGAAGTGAGAGCTTTTTCTCAAGCGTTTTTATTGTCTTCAGATGTTTTAATAAACGTGAAAAATAACAATTTCAGATGTAGCTGAAAGGCTGGGGGAGGAATCAGTTTACCTAATCACGAGAACGGAAATTCCTGTTGGGAAAAGGCTTGAGCTGGAGAGGAAAGCAGTTGGCATTATGTAAAAAGGTCTTGACAGGCACTTTAAGTGTACTCTTGTCGCAGCTGTTCTCCTAAAAGTTCCATTTTAATCTGAAGTTTATTAACCTGTGGTGTACTTTTAGCAGCCACTGACATATATTTTTGGCTTATTCTTGATCCTTTTTTGCATTCTTTCAGTGAAATCTTTCTGCATTATGTCTAGATATGTGTAAAAACATTTCTGACCTGAAGCAGTGCCTTTTACTGTGAGAAACAGGGTCTTGGGAGGAATTTGTTATTGTTGCTGCTGGAAACTTGTTTTCCATTCTCCAAAATTGAAACATTTAATGAAAATGGCATTGGAAACATCCCCAAAAACTCATTACTGGGAATTGGCAAAGCAGCATTGTGTGCTTCTTTGAAACTCCTAATAAACTAGGCCAGCTGAGCAAGTTTAGGTATTTTTCATGTGAAGAGTTTCTGTTTCTTTCTAGTTGTTCATCTGTCCTTTTTTCCAGTTGGGAAAATGTAGGCTGGCATTGGCAGAGAGGAGTATTGGGGAAGGTTGGACATAAAAGGATGTCTGCTCATCCAGCCAGTTTCTTTGAATTGGTCCAGAGTCAAAGTTTTACATCTGAAAATGCCAAGTTTATGAAATCTGGTCATTTGTAGCATTTTCCCAGGTGTACACAAGCCATTCAGTAGTTGTCTTTTCATATCCTAGCCAGGCTTCTAAATACACTGAGTACAATTGCACAGTCTGAGCTCGCTCTCTCTAGCCTTTCAGTAAATATAATGCATTAAATGCCCAAATATTACACAATCCCAGCCTGGTTTATGTTGGAGGGGACCTTAAATCTCATCCAGTTCCAACCCCTGCCATGGGCAGGGACACCTTCCCGTAGAGCAGCTTGCTCCAGTTCGTGTCCAACCTGGCCTTGAACACTGCCAGGGATGGGGCAGCCACAGCTTCTCTGGGCACCCTGTGCCAGCGCCTCAGCACCCTCACATGGAAGAAGGGTAATAAAGAATGAATAGCACATGGGTGCGTGATCTGGGTGTCTTCATGACTTGCATTATCTTTGTCTGCCTTTGCAGCAGTGGAATGGAAGGGACACAGCACTGATGGTCACTCGAGTGGTCAACCACAGGCGCTTTTCTGCCACGGTGAGCGTGGCTGACACCTCCCAGCGCAGCATCAGCAAGTACCGCTGCGTCATTCGCTCCGACGGCGGATCTGGAGTTTCCAATTATGCAGAATTAATAGTCAAAGGTAGGTTGCATTAAACCAGCCAGTTTATGCAAGATGAGTATTTTCTCCTAGATGGCAACTCTGTAGAAACCTGACAGCCTATTGGACCGTCTTCTTTCATTCATATTTAATTTAGGTGAGAAAAAAGGGTAAAAGTGACATGAATTTCAATCATTTTATCAAAAGGAATGTTTGAATTGGAGCTATGTCTGGATACAGCCCTCTTTGTAAGCTTTTGGAGTAGTGCATGGTAATTACGGATACTTTTACTGTAGTCAGCTAACAGTTTGGCTGTCAGTCAGCTTCATCTGCCTGCCTTCACAATACTTTATCAGGCATAAATCATCTTGTGATGGAGTATTGCACGTCAGAAGAGCCTGCTCAGGGCTGCTGAGAGTAAATGCTGGGATTGACTCTGCTGATGTCCTGAAGTACACAGTAGAACATCAGTAATTCTTCAAGGATACTAGGGGCTTACCTTTGTTATGTACTGTGATTCAAGAACTGATACTGTGCCTGACACATGCCAGATGTGTCTTAATCCTGCCTTTATGTGGCATGTGGTGAAGTCTGTTCACTGAGCTACTTTTCTCTTTTCTGATGAACCCTGAGCTGCATCATGGGGACATTCAATGACTCCTAGGTGGAAAGATCAGAAGGTGGCTCCAGAGACATAATGTGTTTAGGGTGGGCATGATATGAAGTTAGAGGAAGTGTGGGATTGCTCATAGTATAATTTCATTGATCTGTATGTTTGACTTCTGTGTGCAAATAGAGGGCTGCTGCAAAAATGAGATCATTTTTGTTCACTGTCCTGCTTCCTGCCAACTTACTCTCTCATGTGTTGGTCAGTATGTTGATGCTTTTACAATGCCTTGAATTTTGTTGAAGAGTGTTGTGTGGTGCAGTTATTCAGACCACACAGATCACACTTCTATTATATGCCAAGTGCTTTTAATTCCCACTTGGTAATCTTGCATCTTGTTCAAATCTGAATGAATTAATTCATGCTTAGAATGGGACTGAGTTGCCAGGAATAGCATATCTAGTGTTGTATCATAGCTAAAGAGAGGGAAGGCAGTCTTCCAGAGCAGCCAAATATCAGCATATGCAAAGTTGAGTAGGTGCCCAGCCCTTTCATGTTCATTGATATAAGAAGGGAAAAATCCCAGAAAGATAAGTTAGAACCATGAATGGTTGGATGCCCACCAGGAGAGACATTGCTGGATTACTTGGGCAGGCACCCAGTTACAAGAAACGTTAGGAGGGTGATTCAGTTATGGGAAGGTGCATCCTCCTTTCCTGGCTCTGTGTAGGAAGCAGGTAAGGTTGGGTGGCTCAGTGAAGGTTAGTTTGCTGCAGCACTGTGACATGCTGGGGTTGCACAGATGAGTGCTTCCAGAGCCTGACACTGATTTTAGTGGGGATAATAGCAAATCTGTAATGCAGGCACATAGGCTGAGCTGAAAACAAACTGGAATTGTTTAATTCTGAAGAGATGTTTATTGAATTACAATCATGTACTTGGGTATACATCAAATTAGGCTGTAATTGAAGTTTCGCTCAACTGAGAGTCCTGCCCCTAACCCGCTAAATCCAAGCTAATACTCAGCCTCTCATGTGCTTTTTCTCGTGATCAGCTGAACATCAAACCAAAGGGAGTTTCTTCAGCAGAGGTTAAGGTTTAAAAGTGTATCTGTGGATCTTTTTAATTTAAAGATCTGTTTGCTTCCCTGTGTGTACAATGTTTTATGGTAGTATTGAGAAAGGAAAGATTAATTTATGTTGCTCTGTATTGAATAATAAGATTTGGTAGACACAGAAAGAGAAGTTTTGCTTTGAAATGCACATACTGCTTCACCCTAAGTTGGAACAACAGAAACATATTTCAGCAAATGATCAGTTGAATTGAAAAATGATCAACGAAATGAAACATCCACTTGCCGCCCCCCCTTTCCCACCCCCAAGTCCTCCCCTTACATGTGTGTGTGAACGTCTTCACTAAGGACAGTATCTTACTGTCAAGTAATTATTGAAGGCCTTATACTAAAGATCATCACTATATTAGTTTCAAATCATTACAGTCTGTGTGGTGGCAGGAGATACATTGGTAGTGCTGTGAGAACGCTGTTCTATAGACAGCTATTTGCTGTGTATGCTAATACCTTCCTGCTTCCTGGCTCTGTTGCAAGGTTTGTATGAATGACAATACATTCATTCTGCTCTTTGCACTAGAATCGTAATAGTCAAGCCAGAGAAACCTATCATTTCCATCTGTACACTTTGCCATCCTTTGGTGCTCCAGTGGAAGTAGGTCTTCTCTATTTGTTATCTCTCACCATTGCACATATAGCAATTTAAGCCAATTTTGTGCTGGGTAGTTTTCCACAAACCCTGCGGGTCTGATTCTCACTGCACTGATCACATGTGAATGGGAAGCTGCTTCTCTGTAATTTTCTTTTAAGTAAAAGCTGCGTGGCACTTGCTCACAATGTGAACTAAATGTAGGGCTTGCTTGTGTAAAATTGTTTAAAATACTGTGGAAATTGGCTGGAGTCTTACTATTTAAGGTCTCTATTAGTGATGGTGTCTTTCTAGATGCCTGTCACATTAGGTAAGGCTGTGAATGACATTTTGAACTCTGTGTGTGTGTAGCAGGTTTGTTTGCAATTCTTTGTTTGGTTTTTTTTTGTCCTGATTCCTTTCAGATATTCTGGATGCCTAAATCAATGATAGAATCCCACAGTGGTTTAGGCTGGGAGGACCTTAAAGTTCATCCAACGCCCTGAGACTGGGGTGTTGATGTGAAGAGCAGACACTGCACTGCAGTTCTCCTCTTTTGCTGTCAAGGTGGCTGGAAGTCTGAGTCCATTCCTTGCCTTGGAAGCACTTAGGAGATAAGTTTAGCTGTGGTCTATGTGTCTTTTAGATTTTACTGTTTCAAACTACTTTTTCTAGCCTGCATTAATAAATTCAGATGGGAATTTTCCTACCTTCCAGCTACTTACCAGACTCATCTGGATCATGGAAGATGCAGTGTAGATTTGAGTTCATCTGCCTGAGTAATGCCCATTAATCAAAGTCCTCAAGGTTATCACCTTGTGAACAGGAGAAAGGCTCTTGCTCGTGCTGCCCTCAGTCTCAGAAGCTGTGACAACGAGGGTTCCCCTGGGGCTGCCTGCTGCCTCCTTCCCTGTTCTTCCAGCTTACACAGGTAGATTCAGTCTGCAGAGTTTACATGTCCATGAGAATCTATGTACAGGTTTGATAAAGCATGCAATGATGCTGCTCTTCTGAACACCACCCCAACACAGAAGGTGGGGGGGGGAGTGTTTGTGTGCCTGTGAGCCATTTAGGAAGGTTGTGCTGCCTTTGGAATTACTGAACAAGGGAGAACGGCTTTGTGATTGTGGGGTGTCTGGAAAAGCCACTTACAGTCTGTTACTTCTGTGCAGTCTCAGTGGTGGAGGCAATGCAATGCTCCCTTCCTTGGTGCTCGCATCTGGCTGGGATTTACTCAGTCTTGTCATTGCTGTGTTTAATTGCTTGGTTCAGTGAGTTGCTTTACCTTAGTTTTGATCATTAGGTGAGGGTGTGAGAAAAGTGATAGCAAAGAGATTACAAGCACTCCTCCACTCTTACAAGAGCTTGAACTCCTCTTTCTCTTCTTTCAGTCCAACTTAGCATCTTTCTGTGAAGTGGACTGGGGGGATAGGAAGACAAAGCCCATGTTTCATAGACGTCAGTAGTTAGTATGAGCCATATATGTTCCTTCCAAAGGAAACATTTCCTTCTCCTTCCGTTTAACCTCTATAATAGAACTGGCAAATGAAACCATTTCCCTGAGAACCGATTAATGTCTACTGTAGAGATTGGATCCTGCTTTCAGAATAACACAAAGTATCATGCAGGGGTGCTCCAGCACAGGGCAGAAATTAGAATAAGCACATCTAGGAAGAATCCCAGCTACAGCTGGGATAAGGGGAAGTTCACAAATGCGTATTGACAATTCACTCTATATATTTGTTCCAACTTTTTAGATCTCTTCCTTCAGTAGCATTTCTGTTTCTGTGTAACACAAGCAGGGAGGATTGGCTTAAACTTCATCTTGGAAGTTCCAAGTAGCCACTTGGGAAATTATGATGACTCTCCTATCACACCACTGAGTTGTTTCAGGAATTTCTTGACAGATTGATGCTGTCCATCATTTGTGGGGCTTTGTTTTGGATTTCTTTGTCTGGTTTTTCTTCCTGAGACAAATGTTAGTCCAAGAGTTCTGGTTTTATCCTGACTGAAATTTCATTTGAGACTGGTAGAGAAATAGGCATGGGATGGATTTGCTTGGACTTGGTTTTAATGTGTAGATTTCTAAGAATGATGTTGCTGATGTTATATTGACTAAATACAAGATATAAATACAATAATAAACAGAGAAAGATTAAGGAACAATCTTTCTGAAGCAGAAGGGACTTGAGTAAACACCCTTCAGTTTTCCAAGGATGAAGAGTGTTATGGGAAGCTGTTTCTTCCTTCCTTGTTTGTGGAATTGTCCCCAGCCTCTATGATGCACAGTGGATACCAGCTGTTGCTGTGGCTTGGTGAGCAGACAGCTCATGTCGGGAGTGGTTCTGAGTGGAAGTCATGGGGAAAGAGTCCTCACTGCTCCTAGAGAAAGCTCTAGTAGCTAATAGTAGTGAGAAAGTACCTGATGGTTCTTTCTTTTTCTCTCTCTCAACACTCTAAGAAATAGCTTCTCCTTATTACATGAAGCTGTAAGTAACTTGGTGAAAGATTTGTTTTTTAAATTTATCTTTGATTGCAGTTACTTGAACTGTGCAACTGCAGGATTCCCTGTGGGGAGAAAGGAGCTTCTTGTTGCTTTGGTTAGTAACTGTCTTTTGTACTTCATCTGTCATGGTTCTTCTTCTCCCCATTCAAAGGGAACAGAGGGAATCTCCAAAGAACAAACAGTGACAGAAGAAGCAGCACTGCAGGAGTAGGTCTTCTCTTTCCCTTAGACT